TGTGTTTCGTCCATAATTTTGGTCATTGAAATGTGTTTTATGCTTTATTTGAAAATATATTTTTTTACTTAATTAATGCCTGGGCTCAATGGCAACTGTTTCAACAAAATAATGTGGGAATTGAAATGAATCCTTAATTGAATAAAGCATTGGTGGATTTTAAAATAAATTTTAATTTGAATCTGAAATTACCCTTCTCTTTAAAGCAAGGTGTTGTCTTTAACTAATTGTCTCGATTTTCAACTGCCACAGCAAAATTAATTGCTTATTGGGGTTTGACGTGTACCTGCCATTGTGTGCAATATTGTATTTTTTAACCATGGAAATGCTCCTTAACTTCAATGTAGGTATTGTGTATTGATCTTCTACCATGCAGTAGGTAAATAGACTGGGTTTTCATATCGTTTCAGTAATGCAAATTTTGGTGCTTACCGTATGGAATAATGCTTACAGAAATTAGGGTTCTGTGGTGTAATGAAAATTGTTTCGTGGGATTGGTTAAATGAAAAAACAAGTAATTCACCTTTTAAGAATCTTGACTTAAAGCTTTCGTGACTGCAAGAATCTGTTTGAAAGCATACGAAACAAGCACAATTCACAACTCGGGGTCTTGCCATAGGTCCAAGCATTGTGTACATAGAAGCTCCTCCTTGGTAACGGGGTTTTTATACCTGAAACAGGAGCGTGCGTGTAATCACGATAAAAACCTGTTGCTGCCATGCACTGCCCTTTTTACTGGGAGACTCAATAATCTGTCCCCAAACATTGGCATGTAGAATGCACACAGTGCCCTTTTTATAAGCAAACAAGGAAGGAAACAATATTTTTGTTAATCTTGGTAATTGCGAGCAATGTTCCTATTTGGCAGGTTTGGACTGTGACGCTGACGTGCGACGGCCTGTGTTTGTAAATGATGTCCGAGGCTCTATCGTGCACTTCCCAGCTGTCTGTACCAAAAGAAGGCAAAAGAATCATGCCGACCTCCTTCCACCCACAACTCGATGAATTGTCACACATCAGGGTTATGACTTGATTCAGAAAAAATCCATTTTCCTACGTGTTGTTTGTACTGTCATTTTTACTTTATCGCGTGTTGCCTGTGTCAATTTGTCAATTAGCATACGTAGGTTATGAAACAAATACATGATTACAAGGCTCGATAAATGTGCACGTGGCGGAGCTTCAATTGTGAAAATAAGAATACATTTAAATCGGTGAATCGTTGTCATGTTGCCCAGATTGTGCATAGACACAAATGCTAGGCTATCCGCAAGCACAATAGTAGTTGTGAGCATTATATTCAGAAGACTTACCCGACAGATGGTGGGGCAGTGCTACCTGAATTATTTTCAAATGAAGTTGAATGTGTCTCATGATATGACAGCATGAACACATTTGGAGGAATACATTTTATGGAAAGGAAAACAAACAATTGTACAATCGTTGTCTTTTCACATTTCAAACCTCACCCGCTGCATAAAACATACTGGATTTTGTAGCTGCTAGTTTAGTGAACCCAGCCTCATTGTACCAGTGCTTAACATCAACACGGTGACCTGGTGTTTTGTGGGCAGTCGATATTTACGATCAGTGTATTGCAATCCTCACGTTACATGTGTGTTTTTTTTGCCCATGACCGGGGAATTGCAGCTGAACGGCGTCAAGCCACGGTAAGCAATGGGTAACCAGTGCAGCTCTGTGCAACGGAGCTGTGACCCACTTAGCATGGCGGGGAACAAAGCCCAGGAAAGACACTAACGATCTTGAAGACAAGGGCCCTGCCTTCATCAATGCTGCCTAATGGGGGAGGGGGGGGGGGGGCACTTGGAGCATTTTTCAGGCTTTTGGATCAGAGGGCATTCAACAAGTGGCCTTTTTTGTAAAGGTGTGACTACTGCAAAACAAGTAATCTTTTGGCTTGAACATCATTAGTGAAGTATCTTTGACATTGTGTTTTTAGTTAAATGGTTAATAGCACATGAGTAGCCTAACCAACAATCTTTATTTTTGAGAATTGTTTCCTTCTAATTTATTTATGTCTGTCATCACTACCTGTTCTCACTTACCTTATCACCCAAATCTTGCCTCAGATTCCCTCTGGCCATGCATGATATGCTTTGTGTAGATGGTTTTATCTCTTGATTAATGGTTGTTTGTTCCTTAATTGCGCCATTACCACAAGGATATTGCTAAAGTTTTGCAAGCCATTTTTTGGCTTTCTTCTACATTGAGATATTGTGAGTTGGTATAATTTAATTGTCAACACTGGTGAGCTGTGGTTTTTGTGACACTTTTAAACGGTTTATGGAAATGAAAATGTACTCCTAATAGACACACACACACACATCTCCACACTTCTTACTAAACAATCGTTATGTGCAGTCCACAATTTTAAGCAGAAAAGACGAATATTTTGTTACTAAATGAATGACGTGCATGAGGATGCATGTTTTCCTTTGCATAAATCAATATAGTGCATATTCTAAACAAAATATTAAGAGTAACCCCACTCACTGCTTTAAGAACAGAACATTTCAGCATTTTATATCATTGCCCACATTGGGGCATCCGCGTCCTGGGTATGAGCTGAAATGCTTCTGTCCAGGTGGCGTTGTGGAAAGGTCAGGGGTTCAAATCTCGGTCTGGGTCAAGTTCGCCTGGCTTTCCGAGGGCATTAAAATTAGCGCCACTTCGTGTGAGGTCTTAATAAGAGACCGATCTTTGTAATTGGGTGTGTGTAAAATCTATCCTCACCCCTAGCTCCTGTCTGCCAATGGGGATATGAGCACCACTGGTTTAGAGTGGCCACACACCTGAACTTGTAATGTTGGCAATTAAAGGTTTCCTAACCGGAATGATTGTTCGTGTGTAGTTGTACTGTATGTATGTTGAACTTCTTTCGCATCGTACACAGCCAACCGTGCTAATCGGAGGTGTGGATTAAGAATCGCACTTCATATTAAATGGCACAGAAGCAAACAATATGGAGACCTAACAGATGTTTCACTGCAAGATTGACGGACTAATGCTGTTAGGTAGTGACACAAGGCCCCCCCCCCCCATTTCACGTTAAGTTTTTCTTGTATTTTGATGTAGCCGAGGACACTGCCACTCATTCATGTAGTAGCTGTCTGCCCATGGCTTTATTACACTCGCACAGCTGCCACCACCCCTACATTCACCTCTTTGTTGGCTGCAGCCCCATTTTTGAAATGTGGTTTGGCATGATTACAATAAGCTCACGCACTCCCCATTGTATAAGACATTCAGCCCAATTGATGTTACCAAGGTCATACATGCGACTTTTCCTAGAAAGCAGCTTGGCAGTCAGGCGTTTAATGATTCGTCATGTGAATTGATCCTTATGCTTAATATATATTTGCATTTAACGATATATATATATAAGAATCAATGATTTACAATGGAAAAAAAAAGCTCAAGCATTATCTCTACAGTCTTGGAACTAATGACAACTTTGTCTCCTCTCATCTGATTGTGTATGGACATAACTCTCCACACGTGGCCTTTTGTGCCTATGACCAAATCACCTGGGATGTGCCAAATCTCTTTAGATCTTGGAAGTTTTGCAGGTTTGAGTCTGGATAATGCTGGGATGGGTAACCACTTTGCATAACCTGGCCTGGGCAGTGGGGCTGTGTGGTGGGCAGCAGAGGGCAGTGCAGTTAAATCCATTGTTGTGATGTATTGATTTTTGACCAGTGTGGATAAGTATGTTCATATAACCCCCACTACTCACATGGGGTCGGGAGGCCCTCATTTCAGCAGTGGATTAGCAAAAAGGCTGTACATTTACAGTTGTACATCCATTTACATGGGTATGCATATACATACCAGAAACCTGCATGCACGCGTTAAAGCACTGGCTGCTTAGAAATAAACGTAATGGGATCTGAAGTTCACTCGCCTGAAATTAAGTGTGTATCACTTAAATGTTATCCTGGAACTGCAATAGTAAGAGTATTAAATCACCCGCAATGCAGTGCTTACATATTTATATTAGTGCGCACTTAAATGGAATATATGACAAGTCTATCCGAATTCGTAAGAAGTTTCCATGAATAGCACACCGCACATTTGCAGCTCAGTTTCTTAAGGGGCAATTCTATGATTGTGTTACATTGGTGATGGCATCATTAAATGTCTTTTTTTTACGAAATCCGAGAAGGCGACCATGTAAATATCATTGCCTTGGGCATAATATTACATACAGATGTACCTTGGGTGCAATGTTGTTTAATCAAAAGACTGCTACTTGGCATACACTTAGATGTGAAATGCACGTCACCGCTTGTTTAAAGCCTGCAATCAAGTGGCATGCGCCAATTCTTGCACAGGCCCCATAACTATTATGCTCATCACCACCAGTTACACAGCTACACTTTAACTGAGACGACCAGGATTCTGGTAGCATTTTGAAATATACTGCCAAGACGTGTGCAGGACCAGCAGCCGTAATTATTCACACGTTTTGAAAATTAGCGGCACTTTTCCCTTGGGCGCCCTTTTGCGAGAAGCTCTAATGTTATGTGTTGTGACATTTCCAAGATGCCTTAATGGGGTAGCTTGCAGCTGTGTATTCATCCGCATCTTTCACACCAATTGTGTTTCTAAGCGTCTATAACCAAATCGTTCAGAAATGCGTCTAATATCATTAGACGTCGGAGGATAAGCACGGTTGAGCATGCACGGTGTTTGGATGGGTGACCACCAAACACATCCAGGTTGTCGTCGTGCTGCGGCACTACGTAGTGGGCAGTGAAGCCAAATTCATCATTGCACGTGCATCTGTTCTCGCCTTCACCAACCCCGCACTAACCAGCATGGCAAAGTACAATCGATGAACGCATAAGGCACGCAAGCACACGGGGAGGCCCTTATCCCGCAGTATATCGACAAAAGGGCTGCATGTGTGGATTATTCATGTGACAAGCTGTACATCACCGGTTTGTGTCGTTTTTTTATGCTCCTCTCTTGCACAGGCCCAAAGGTAAAACCATGGGTTGTATGAAGAGCAAGCAAAAGCAGTCTCCACCGAGGAAGCACCAGGTGGATGAAAGTGTCGGCAACTTGGGGCACTCGACCCCGACCAACCGCTACGAATCCGAACCCAGGACGCAGTCTGCTCAGCAACCGATGCGCATCACCAACGCCATTCCCGACTTCAACTTTGCGGGGTCCATGCTCTCACCATTTGGTGGAGCCAGCTCCATGAGTGTGTCTTCTCCACAGCGCACACATCTTGCAGGTTGGTCACTGCGCGCGCTCGCAATCGGGCTAGTAGTGTCATGCAATGTGTAAGTGTGGATTTGCTCTAAAGCTCTCCGGTGTGTTTCAGGGTTTTATTGCGTGGCGTTTGGCGTACGCGTTTGATGTTTTGCTCCATGTGCTGGGAATTTCAGCAGGAATTTCAGAATATTATTTTCTTTCTGAATATTTAGTTGCACTGCAGGAGTCTGATAAGCGATAAAGCTTTTTCACAGATGGCCATTAGAGGCAGGTCAGAACGTTACAGTAATAAACAGTACAAAAAAAATAGGAGTGAAAAGCATAGTAAAGGTAATCAAATCGCTTTATAATATATACCAAAAAACTAAACAACTTTTTATCTTACCAGGTAAAGCCCAGTGAGTTATTAACTTCTTTTTCAGAAGCGACCTGACCACAATGACAGCTCAACGAAGTGGCGTGTGTGCAAATTAATTGCGGCAAAATAATGCAAATAATGTAAACGCATGTTTCTAAATATGAAGGGATAAATTTCGATTTAAAGCTTTCGTGACTGCAGGGATTCATCTTCTTGGTTCTTTCGGTAAAGTCACGTAGAAGGGAAGTAATAAAATAATAAAAATAAAAATAAAACATTGTTTTATTATGTTTTATTTTTATTATTTTATTACTTCCCTTCTACGTGACTTTACCGAAAGAACCAAGAAGATGAAGGGATAAACCGAACAACCCGGAGAAAGATTCCACGCGACCACAGTGAGAACATGCAAACTCCGAAAATACAGGTGTCAGGGTCGGGATCGAAACCCCCCCCCCGACCTCCGGCATACCAGGCGAGGAAGATAACATCTCGCCAACGTGGCACCCCTTGAGGAATTTCATTCCTGGGGTGCCAGGAATGATTTGTCAATAATAAGCAAAAGGCTTATGGCGAGGACCGTGCCGAAAGGCAATTTGTATTGTCGTTAAATATGAACGTTAAATACTGTATGAACGGTACTTTTCCAACTTCTGTCGTTTCCTCGGCTGTAAAGGTGTTTGTGCTAATTTTGTGAACAAAAAAGAAGATAGTTGACCTCTTTAATACCTGACTGGTGTTTGGATAGATTCATGCATTGGTCTGGATGGCAAATGAATCAGGAATTGTTCACCCCAGAGAGCTGTAAGCCCATTCCACAGTGGATATCTTGGCCAAACTATCCATTAAAGCAGCAAGTTTGCAACCTTTTTTTATGGCTGACCCTAGTCAAAATTCCCCGTGGCCCGTTCCCCAGCCTCTGCGCCTTCCGACCAGCTTACTAAGCTTACAATGCAACATCGACGTCTCTCGTCAACACATTGTAAGGCATTGGTGTTATGTTGTGTATTCATGTTTTTGTCACTGCAACGCAGTGCTGATCTTGCGCACATTCAGAATTTCTTTTGCACAGTATCCATGTCGCAGTTGGCATCCCCCCCCCCTCCCATGAAAAGCTTTCGCACGGGTTGAAGGATAATCATAATGGGTGGCAGACATGCTGATTCTGAACTCTGGTACCTGCCTGCTCACTGCTCTGACACGGTATTAGCCCCCGAGTCATCTGACCACCTCAAAGGAGGGGGATGTCTAAACACGCTGGAGTTTGTGGGAGTCCTGTGTGTGGGTGTGTGCGTTAGCGAGTGCTTCCCCAGCCTTGTCTTCAGACAGTGTTGATGGTTAAGCAAGGAAGTTGCTCCGACAATAACTTTCCTGTTGAGCATGCAGGTGTTTCCTGACATTTTGTCTGTCGAATCTTCAACAACTTTTTCACCACCGTGATTTAGTTTTATTAAATCAGTTACTTTGCCATTCGGTTCCATGTAAAGTTGGTGCATTAGTTTGAAATATTGAGAGTGCATCATCCCATCGGTTAATTTAACAAGCTTCGTTGCACATTACACCTAATTTACAAAAAAAAGCTGAAGATTTACTCGTGGCAGTTGAATGAATGTGATTATAATCAAGCATTGTGTACATTTTGGCAGTTATTTAATACGAAGTAGAATCGAGGAAACATTGTAATTAAACTCTGTTGCGCTGTAGTTTTATACATGTGCATGACCATGGTTGTTGTCCTGGGATACCACGTGCACTTTGAGAGCCTGGTGGCTCCTCCTGTAGGCCGGGGAGACCGTCCCAGAGACTGGCATTGGTGAACAGTGCTCCGGACACGCTTATTGTGCAAGGCAGTGTTAAATCTGGTGTGAAAAAAATCGCACACTGTTAATGTAAATGCACCTTAGTGTATCAGTTTGGCTTCTTTTGCCAAGGTGGTGGGTGGGGTGAGGGATAGGTTTGATTTTTTTAAATCCTAGGCCAGGTTTTTGCTCTTAAATTGACAAATGCATGCACTACTTGGTAAATTAAGTCTGAAAGAATTACTTCATCAGCTGGATCATTTCTCAACAGTGCCAGGTATGAGTACCTCGAAGGTCATGTCATCAGTCCAGAGGACAGACAGGCAAGGACAGTCTGGAAAGTCAGTTCACTGGCAGAATCTGCTTGGTGTGTTGCTTCTGTGGCAAAACAAATTGAATTATAAAATTGTCTTCAGGGCCTCTTGAGACCAAACATCAGTGATGTCCCTGTGCATTCTTAGGGTGCCTTAGGCTGCCTTTCTTGAGTATTTTGCAGTGACATTGACGAAAATGAGTTTTGCAGTTACATTGACGAAAATGAGTTTTGCTTTTAATGATCCATCAATTGAAATGTATTCTTATGCTCAAGATACACTAGTTAAATCGTAGGTGAAAGAATCGATTATGATTTAGGAAAATTATATACAACTCTTACATGTAGGCTCGTTGAATGAGGCAACAAACAATAAAAACATTAAAATTCTACAGGCAGTACAAAAAAGGTGGTAACATCTATAAGATGGTACATCTTGGTACACTGTTGGCTACGTAGAGTGCGAAAGATGTTTTACATACATGCAATTTGACAATTATTGAAATGTGACCCCTAATTGTGACAGTTGAATCATTGATAGTGGAATGAATTGTTGCATCTGTTTTAGAAAACCAAGGACACCTTTGTCTTTGAGCTTGTGAGGCCTTGAGATTGAACCGTTAACTTCTGAGTAGTTATCTTTACTCTTGGATTTTCAGATATTCTTAGTGACCACTGAAAGTGCTAACACTGCCTTGGTATCTCTGGTACAACACTGAGCATTTTCATAGAACTCCACGGCTCCTAAGAACGCTGCAATCATGCAGAGTCTGTTGACACTGTTTTAATTTTCGTTATTCTTAACATTATTACGCTATTGCCTCATCATCTTATAAGCAGTGGGAGTCAGACAGGCAGCATGTGTCCGCCTACGTGCATACGTGTGCGTGTGTGACGGTCATGTCTGCACGATCGAAGCCCGCAGCATAACCTCCCCCACGTTCCTCGGTGCATCCTCTGTTCATCCCACTGCTGAGTCCTCCCTCTGTGTGCTTGGCGTTCCTAAACCATTTACACCCCCTGGTGTAAATAATGACAAAAATATTCATCAAACAGAAGATTGTGTGCAGGCTGGCAACAAATAAGAGCAGTAATAATACACAAGAGGTAGTGATTTCAAGATGGCAAAGGTTCTTCACAGTGAGCAGGGAGGGCCTGTCCCACAAAGCACAGGACATTGCAGGCATTGACTGCACTGTACTGAATCAAAAAAATAATTAAACTGCTATCGTTGTTTATGCTGCTGTCTAAAAGAATTTGGCCAGAGTTTTGGGTCTTGGTGGTTTAAAATAAGGCTTTATGCATTATATTTTGCACGTAGTTTGGTGATGTCAACGTGACATGCAAAGCATTATGGGAAGACATATCCTGATCACTATTATGACTTTTGTTGCCCAAATATTACTGTTTGCGAGCACAAGTAGTCACCGAAATACGAACGTCCGACTTGACATCTGCACTTGCGAACGAACCGCCATTAGATTTTATTTTAACCATCCTACTTGGTTGTCCTCACGAACCACGGAAATATTTTGTTTGGCGAAGCGATCCCCCGCTAGATGTAATGAGTCTCAGCATATCGTTTGATGAAATGGCCCTTTCGACAAGTAGGCCAGCATGAGAATTTTGAGGTAGGTGAAAATAAAACATTTTATTTTCATGTTACTCTATTTAATGTTTTATTTACTATACAGTATTTATTACATTATTACATGCAAATGTATAATATTTCTTATTTATGAGTTTAACAATGCTTCCCTTTATTGTTGAACCATAGCACATTTTCTAACACTAACCATGTGCAATTAAAGCTTGACTTCAGAGATACGAAAAGATTTACTTACGAGCACGCCTCAGGAATGTTACCCGTTTGTAAGTCGAGGCTTTGCCTGTATTGCTACTCTTACAGTTCCTTGTTTGAATAGGCAAAACCCCCTGCGTGCAGACGCTTAGCATATTTATTATAACCAATAATGTCCACAGTTGGATCAGCATTGGGTAGTCGTGTTTTTCACCATGGTGTGTGCCCAGCACATTGTGTTTTTGCGGTAGGAGCCGTGGGCAATGGCACAAAACCGGAGGAAGTGGATGATGCTCTGCTGGACGGTCCCACTGGGGCGATGCTAAATACATGAGTGGGCCCTGAGGATCCTTGTTTATTCACGAAGCAGAAAATAAACATCATCAATAAACAACATCAATAAACATTGCACCCAAGGGGGACCCATGTCTAGCAGCTTTGGGGGGGCCCATGTCAAGCAGCCTTGGGGGAGGTGCACGATAAGTTATGGGGGGCTGCTACCACGCACACCTTCCATGTTTCCTGGTGCACGGTTATCCCTTTGTGAAAATTGGCATTGTATTAAGTCTTTTTGGCTGGCTGTGAACAGAAACAATGCAAAATCGTTTGCTGTATTGTAGTCATAATGACACGTGTATTTATCCTAGTTTTGACCTATTGTATAATTTACACCAAACAGCACCTGATGTCATGTTTCACCTTGTAGGAAATAATTCACTTTGCAGTAATTCAATGACTTTCAGTAAATATCCATCTGAATTTAATACATATTCATTTTCATGTAATATGGCAATGCAGCAGAGTACTTAGAGCACCCAGCTCACAATTGGAAGGTTATAAGTTAAGTCTGTTGGAATGTTGACTCGGCATAAGTACAGTATTTCCTCATTCACAAAATTGCTGTCTGTGATTTTGGCTATCCGTGAATCGCACCTGGAACTTTGCATGACTGCATTGAGAGAGAAAAAAAGTGAGCTAAAGTGATGAGATAATTTTTATGTATTTCACCCTTTCCCGAGAAAAATAAAATAGCTTTAGCGGTAACGAGGCCCCCACAAGGCTATGTGGGAAGGGACGGGGCACAGTTTGGTGCCAGCTATCATAGAGTGCGGTCGTGTCGCGACAGTTCCCTGCGCTGAGTACGATGTCTTTAAAAACAACGGTGCTATCCCTCTCTAAATCAAATTAATGCTAACCACTTGCGCGTTCCGAGATTCAGCGGTGAATGTGACCCACCCTGGAACTTGCAGACATCTCGCAGAGGGTCAATACCTTATTTATATATTTAAGGTGATTCATTTTCATAGTCCATTATCATCCCCTGAGCTTGCTATCCACGAGCATCTCCGGAACGTATCCTTCGTGAATAATAAGAGAATACTGTACCACTATGTTTGTCGTCAACATTGGTTGTCTGGTGTACAAGTCAACCCCACCGTATATGGATGTGTAATGTCTTCTGCTGGCTGCAGAGCTATAAACATCAGATGAGCACATCCCCGTGCTCATTGGCGAAGTAAACCACTCTGAAGATTTTCGACAACAAAGTTTTTACACTAACAACAAGGGGATAACAATCTTGCGGTTCAGAATTATATGGTCGTGAGCTGCACTGCGCTTATGATAGCACTGGTTTTTTTGCGTGCTCATAAAATCCAAATGCTTTAAAAGAAAGTGAAAATTTATTGTAATGAAAAATGGCAGCCCCAGTGAGATCTCAAAGCTGCATGGCAGCATTCGCTCAGAATTACATAATCAGTCCCACTGCACCAGCCAATCGCTTGGCAGGAGACAACCCCATGCAACATGGGCTTTAAGAAGTCAACCATGCACTTTGGCAACCATGACAGCATTACTTTGTGCGTTTTAGCCAGTGTTACTGAGGTAAATGTATTTGTTTTTAATTAAAGTATTCATGTTATCGATATGAGTGTTATTCATATTAAGGTTATTAATTTGCTAATGAGTGGTCCTGACCACCCTTAAGTTCTTTCCTAATTTTCCGATGCTTTATCTTAATGCCCTTGTGGAAGTGGTGTTATGACAAGTCTTAGCATTTCTAGAGAAAGCATACTTTAAAGTCTGTCAGAGGCTCTCGTAACATCACAGCAATGATTTATGAAACTGTTATTGTAGACGCATGCATTCATGTCGTTATACTACTGCGATGGTAATGTGCCTGAAAGTGACTTGAAACTTTTTTCTTTCTCATTTTTAAGATCTCCAGGTTATGTACTTAGCTACAATCTGAGCGTTCAAAATACAGTTTTTTGTTGGGTTAGATCGCGTAAATATATAAATGTGTCGTTAAACCCGCCACCACCTGACAGTCAATTAGTAAGGTTTGTCACGTAAAAAGAACATGCCAATTTGTTACTAGTACAGCACATCAGTATGTTGGAGAGCCAAGCCACAACATTTACAATCTGAGTACGACGTTTCGCCAGTAATTACAACTAGCTTCAGGCGACAGCCAGATTTGTGGAGAAGTCTAACGGGTTTGTTCCTTAAATAGAGGCGTAGATGTGATGACAACACTTGTGCACTCTTCTTGCGTGAAGAGCAAGACATGTATATACTTACACGATCTAACCCCAAAAACCTGTATTATGGATGATATTGATCGCGAAAGCTTCCGTGTTAACCCAAATTGAGCGTAGTAAGAGATTTGTGTTTTTTGGGTTGAGTCTTCCTTTAATGTAGCTCTAAAGACACATTCACATGATGTTAAGGTTTCCATTTTATGTTGGGCCTTTGAACTCGGAAAGGCGTAAGTTTGAGTGAAACCTCACAATGACACGAGGGCTTCACATTGCACGTGACTGTCGGCTGAATTGCAAAAATAGATGATTGGACCACTGTAAATGTCCATAAAATGTTTTTTTTTAAACAAAGGTTAGCCAGTTGCTTTTTAATTAACCAACTAAAAATGTTACCTTTGTTCAATTGCATTTTACCATAATTTGTGCTATGGGGCTCATGCAAGAAACACAGTTGAATGAGATTTTTATGGTCTGCTTCTGTCAAGGAGGAGTAACGCTGTTTGTCGCGCTCTATGACTACGACGCCCGAACACAGGACGACTTGAGCTTCAGAAAAGGCGAAAAATTCCAGATCATTAACAACACGTGAGTAAGCCCAACCCTGGCGTCCTTATACACCAAATATCTAATTTTGTTTTCGTCGTTTTGCCAGTCAACTGCAGAACATACACGAGTACATAATTCCAAAACCAGGGGATGTTATGTTCCAGATGATTCGCTAAGTTTGACGAGTGACATTTTATTTGAACCAAAAAGACCACGGCCAAATATTTTCGCTGTGCTAATAAATAGCATTGAGTGGCGGTGCCGCCTCGTGCCAAATATGCAGTATTGTTCCCGATGAAAAGTGTGGCGGGCGAAGCCTACAGAGGCGTCGGGTCACTCGTACGATGCAATGTTCCCAAGTGTTGTTGTTTATTGCCGTACCAGATTTTGAACAATGTCTTGGTTGGCACACCAAACACGGTCATTTGGAATGCTTTTCTACTAAACAAAGGAAATGTTCTCGAGGGGCTTTGTGTTTTTTTACACCCCAGAAGAAGAGTGGTCTAACTTGGTCATAATAAAATCCAAATAGGTGATGCTGTACAATGCAATGTCACCGTCCACAGTGCAATGGATGTCTCAAAAACTGCACTGCTCATTAACCCCGTGGTATATTCTTGGATCTTTTGGTAAAGTCACGTAGAAGGGAAATAATAAAATAGTAAAAATACAACTTATTTCCCCTCTACGTGACTTTACCGAAAGATCCAAGAATATGAATCCCTGCAGTTACGAAAGCTTTAAATCGAAACCCCGTGGTAGTTGGTAATGCCGGTAAACCCAACAGTTCTAGGCAGTGTCATAATTTCTGTACTTATTATGGAACACTTAATGTCCCTAAGGATAGTTATTCTCATAAGCTGGTATAGATGCAGTACCAAGGCTGGCTCTAAAATAATTATCTCTTGTGCAAACCTATTTTAAAAAGTGTTTTGAAAAATGTTGCTTTAATATTTTAAAATCTTTCCTTATTTAAAAAAAGTGTATTAAAATACATACACTTAACAGCACAGTCGTTACATTCTTGATATTGTTTCTCAACATTGAAGTGGCCGTGGCCTGTTTTGGTTTCCCTCTGAGATAAGCTTCTGTATTTATAGTTCTTGGTGATGGGCTTGGCTGCTATTGATTCATAGCATGTGTGTTGGACGTCTTTAAGACTCTTGGTGGGAGTGTGGATGAATGATTTCACATATGTTCACACCTAAAATATAATGTTTAGTTTTCACAACTGCTGGGGAATGTGCCTAGCACACCCTCACCTTAAGAGGCGTGTCTCATCAATTAATATGAATTATTATTCTCATGATACATGGCGTGTGAAATCGGTTTTCTGTAATTTATGAAGGATTGCATGCAAGTTATAAGAGCACTTTACATTGAGAAAACAAAACCCTACAAATGAATTAGACGATAATCTAAACATTAAAAACGAGATGGATTAAATGGGGCAAAAATATACACTATATTCTTGCATTGAATTGCAACCCTTAATTGTGATAATCCATTAAATTAGTCTTAGTTAGTGGGGGGGACAAGTTTTTACATGCCTAACCCTTCACCCGGTTGTCTTAAAGCTGCACGTAAAAATTATTAGTGTTAATTTTAAACCATGCCTAGTCTAACAAAGCCTATGTAAACTTTGTACAACGGCAGTTTTAAACAAACATTGTTTCCTAAAAATCACTCCCGCTCTGCACAGGGAATAAGTAGGGAAAAATAGGGTCACATGGACAGAAATAGCCTCGCAGACATTCTGAACGTGCGCACCGGATGGCCCCGAGTGTGGGGGCTGATTTCTGGCAACCGTACACAGCCAACTGCTAATCAGAGGTGCGGGGGAAGGACCACAAACTAAACACAAAAAGCAGTTCTAAAGAAATGAGTTTTCAATCTAGATTTAAAAGTGCAAGTTCCAGTGGCTTCCTAATATCGGAAGGTTGAGTATTCCAGGCGGCATCTCAAAGCGCGCAATGCAGTGATCATCTGTAATCTGTTTGCCGTTTCATTTGCATGTGATGTACGTCGGTGTACAGGGAAGGGGACTGGTGGGAGGCAAGATCCCTCTCTACTGGAAACAAAGGGTACATACCCAGCAACTACGTGGCACCTGCGGACTCAGTGCAAGCAGAAGAGTGAGTAGTACTGCCTCCCGCTGTCGAGGAAGCATGTTTATTCGTATACATTCCTTCCTCCCACCCACGTGTCTTGGCCGCTAGTGTTAGCGTCGCATTTACAAACCAGTCTGGTGGCATTGAACGAATGTCTGTATATCGTACACGCGTGTTAACATCGTGGTGTCACTTTCCGCTGGCAGAGCTTGCTCATGAGTGCTATGTGAGCTGCAGCTGTGGTGAAGCCTCTTGCGTGTGGTGTTAGTGGATTGTGTTTTTTGCATGCTCCCGAGCTATTATTGGCGGTGAACTTTAGTGGATTGTAAAGCCAAGAACACTAAATGATATTGCCTCTAAATGTTGAAATGTCACTTAATGTTTATGTGAAAACTGTAACCTTTAAATAATAAATTCAGCTATTCTTATGAAGCTTATTGTCACAATTTATGTATTAATATAAATATGCATAATTTATTTAAGGCTTTTTGTTTAGCATTAATATATTTAGTGTTTGTTATTGGATGGTTCAAAGGTTTGTACTTTTGCTGTATTGTTTTGTGACCCAGGTCTCCCTTTCAAAATAGACTTTCTGTTAGCAGGCTCTAGAATGGTGTAAATAAGGCATACATATATACCTACAAACATGCACGCGTACATATATGAAGAGCATTACTGCATATGTGTGTGCATGCATTTGTCGTAGTTAGGTGAAAAAGAATACTTGATATTTGGTTTCCCAGGCTTGCCGTGTCTGCTGCACGTGTACCAAAAATCATAATATAAATAATGTTCTAAATGTATCCAGGAAAGCCTCATTGAGTCCACAATCTTTCAGTCGAGTCATGCATACAGATATTGGAATTTATGCGGGAGAAAATCTAATGTACCTCTAGTAAACCCATGCGTACAAGAATGCATAGTGCTCAAATTCAAGAATCCATTGGTCTGCTGCAAATCTCCTGGCCACCTTGCGGTGATTGTTTTGCATTCGGGGTATCGTGGTCAGTATCAGTACAATTTACATTGATACATTGTCTAGAACCGCATCTCAAGATGTAGTGTAGAGGGAGGAGGGGAGCAGCACATGCACATCGAGGGCATTGTCACACACACCATATATACTGGCTACTGTATGTGCTCGCAGCTTATGAGCCGAACGTGGAGTCTGATGATTGCCTCCTTTGTCACATGTGCTACTTGGTGAAAGTGAGCTGACTGCTTTCTCTCTGTGTCCTCCTAGGTGGTATTTTGGGAAAGTTAGCCGCAAAGATGCGGAGCGCCAACTGCTCTGTCCAGGAAATCCTCGGGGCACATTTTTGATCCGTGAAAGTGAGACCACCAAAGGTGCGTGTTTTCATGACCCTCTACATTTCCTTCTATAGTTTCACTTTTTTTTAGCTTTTACCACAATTACACTCCAATTGTGTGGTCTGCATCAGGTTATCAAATGAATACGCTTCCAATTGAAACTCTCACATTGGGTGTGTGCACCACACTACATCAGAGAACAGTCCTGAAAGATGATCACGCCAAATAACTAATTCTTAAGTCAACATCAATAGGCCTCATCTGCAGGAGAGGCACGCATACTCTGTATGCCCTGCAAAAACGGTTGCATTTCAACCCAACCTATTTAATTTTCAGAGTTTTACTTCGCCAAATGAAGTAAACTACAACGTTTGTTTGTGTGAGGTTCTCTTTTTTGTTTACAGTTATTGGTCACTGGGCTTAAAAACAAAGTGTTTAAAGAATATTTAAACCCAAAAACCTACCCGTATATCTTCTTGGTTCTTTCGGTAAAGTCACGTAGAAGGGAAGTAATAAAATAATAAAAATAAAATAAAAATAAATATAAATAAAAATAAAACTAAAACATAATAAAACAATTCTCACTTGTTTTATTATGTTTTATTTTTATTATTTTATTACTTCCCTTCTACGTGACTTTACCGAAAGAACCAAGAAGATGAATCCCTGCAGTCACGAAAGCTTTAAATCGAAATCTACCCGTATATTTTTTATACAAACCTGGGCTGTATATCTTAGGCTCTCCTTCATGAATTTGGAAGCTTCATTCATAAGGAAAGAGCATTTATAGCCATTGTGCCCTCGAGTGACCACAGCCACATGAGTCGTTTGGTGTTGCGGGCGAGTCACTTGACCGCAGATAACGCTCCACATTGTGCACGCTGCGATTGGTTCCAAGTTAGTCTACAGAGCCCAACGCACAGAGGGCAAGTTGAGTCCATTTTGGCTGGACCCCCTATCCTTCATTAAAGATTTATTCAGTGAAGGCAATGATTTAATTACAGAATCAACTTGCATCTACATTGTCATGTATTCATGAAGTAATGCGAGTGTTTTTACATCTCAAAACGCTGTAGAATTTGTATCGCGCCCAGTTTTCGCATTGGAGGTGCGGGAAACCACAAACAAAGGGGGAAGCAACCAGAAACGGCACCTATAATTACCCAAGCTCTGGGGCCCTATATTGGAATGTGTTTTCGTATCCCCTTGGTAACCTAATAAAGTTACCATTCAATAGTTACTTTGGGTTTCGTCTTCCTTCAAGGAGCCCGTTTTCTTTTTGCGTCACCATGTGCTGTGCTGCGCGCGTGTGCCCAGGTGCCTACTCACTGTCCATTCGGGACTGGGATGAGGTAAAGGGGGATAACGTGAAGCATTACAAAATCCGTAAGCTGGACAATGGTGGGTATTACATCACCACTCGGGCGCAGTTTGACACACTGCAGAAGCTGGTACAGCACTACTCAGGTGAGTTTGTGCGAGCGGGCGTGTCTGTTGTTGGCCATCGCTCCACATTCGTAGAGATTAGTGACGTTAATGTTTTATAAACACGGTTTCCAGACCTAAGTTAATGTAGTTTATTAAATGTTACCCAATTATTGAAAATATAATACGTGTTTGTAGTTACAAGGCCTGTAATGATGCTTTTATCCATCGATTATAAATATGGCACTCAGGAAAAAGGCCTTGCATCATCGTCATGTGTAATGGTCACTTGTATGATTAATTTAAACATGCCAGTAATATGCTGTTACATTTCTACCAACAAAAGGAATAAAACCGTACAATACCTAATGAAAATAAATGGAGGAAATTGTTTAATTAGAAAAAAAAAATTGTTTAATCTAATCACGACCCTCAAATTGTGACAATTGGATCACCTGGGGGGTGGGTTGTCATGTCTGGAGGTAGGTCCACTGGACATTATGTAGTCATTGTATAAATGTTTGAGTATGAAAGAAATGGCACGAACTTGCCAGAGCATCACATGTTGTGAATGCAGCCCTGTTGTGAATGGTCCTGCATATAACATAGCAGGGACACTGAACATCAAATTGATTAATGTGTCAGCTGTAGATGACCCGCTTCCCAACTCCACAGTGGATCACCCTAACTAAGTAGGGTAAAGAGAGATTGTAGAGTGAAGTGTTTTGTAACATACGAATCATTGTTAAACCCTGGCATGCAGTGCTGTGATCCAGATCATTGTTTTCATGGCCCTCTATTAGTGTTACATTATTATGTGAAGTGCTGTTTTTCTATAAATCAAGAGAAAATGTAAATTACATATATCGTCTCATTTAGGTCTACATTAATTATTTCCCCCCTTTTTAAAATGATCACCTATCGGCTAAAATACACTGAATTGAAAAAGTGTGTGTGCAGTGCGATGTCTTTTCATATTTTTGTGAATGAAATGGTTGATGTTAAATGCCATGTATTACTGAACTTTCCACTACTGATTTAAATTTCTAACAACTAGTATATTCAAACAAATTTTTGAAAAAGTACAAGTTTTATTTTAAATTATGATAAATATTGGAAAATTGTATGCCCCATCAATATTAGTCATGTTTCCAGTACTTAAAGTGGGTGGAGGAAGATGGAAAATGTTGCTGTGAAATTTGCTCAAACTGCTAGAAAAACAAATCTGTGAAAAAGTCATCACTGGAATAATCTGTCAAGTGACTTCCTAACGTTCCCAGGAAGCTTAGCGTTGTAATGCCGATAACATTTGTAAGTCGCTCTCATTCCACTTAACATAAAAATGATGGTGTTTAGGGAGCTTACCCTAGTATTCGCTTCCTCTAGCTGTTGGCGGTGATAACGACCAAAGGCAGATTAACCATGTTGTCCTTGTGTGATGCACTCCCCTCTCTTGGATCATCCTTTACCGACCATGTCTCTTCTTCCTTTGTATCCTGTCCACCCTCGTCTCGTTCATTTTTTTTGTTGTTGCCCATATTTTGTGTTTCTTTCTCTGCAAATTTGATTCTCTTTGTGTCCGTCCCCATTTTCTATTTTACCATTCTTTATACCTTTCCTGTCCCCTGTGTCCCGTCCCCCCCCTCCCCCCCCCGTCTGCCCTTTTCCCTTACCCCCTCACCCGATGGGTGGGCAGAGCGGGCAGCGGGGCTGTGCTGCCGGTTAGTGGTGCCTTGTCGCAAGGGGATGCCCAAGCTGGCAGACCTGTCGGTGAAAACCAAAGACATGTGGGAGATCCCTCGCGAGTCCCTGCAGCTTATCAAGCGCCTGGGCAATGGGCAGTTTGGGGAAGTCTGGATGGGTAGGAGTCTCGCTTGTCCTCCCTCACTCGTGGGAGAGACACATAGAGAGGATGCCTGTGAGCCGTTTGCTACCCACGCCCATTTCCGCCTGTGTTTCCCTGCCCGTGTGCTGTTCCGAAGACCAGAGCTTACCCCCAATGTCTCTGACATCTTGCATGCTCATTTTTTTCTGTTTGAGTCCCATTTCTTACTACGTAACCACCTCCCACCACCACCACCACCCATCCCAGTTGTTCTGGAAAGGGGTAGTGGTGGCACAAGGCAGGGCAGCGGTGAGAGTAAGCAGAGGCACGCTGAGTGGGGGTCAAAGATAAACGAGTAACTGCCTCCGCTCGTAATTCAGATGAATCACCCACAGATTAAGTATAAAATAAACATTGACAATGGCTACGTTAAAACGAAAGGGCACTTGCTAAATGCCCCCGCTTCTGGGCAGCCTCTCTTTACACTTGCCTTTATTAATATTGCAACTTTTGATTTGTGTTCGTACGCGTGTGTTGTGTGCATGTGTGTGTGCGTGTCTCTCCATTGCATCCATCTCCCGCTCCCCTTTGCCCCCTTATAGAGCATGCTGACGGTTTGTGTTACAAACTAACCTTGGTTTGCCCTAACGAGAAACCACAAACCCAAGGGTTGGCTAGAGATGCCTGGGAAATGCCACGAGATTCCTTGAAATTGGAGCTTAAACTTGGTCAGGGATGTTTTGGTGAAGTATGGGCTGGTAAGATACATAAAAACAGCATAATGCTGTTTATGTGTGTTTGTCTTGTTTGTCTATTTTCCCAAGTCAAATCAGTAGCGTATATAAATGGGTTTTACGCATTTATTTTCCCTGTAGTGTAGTGACATGAGTGAAACGAAAGGTACTTCACGGTGATATAAATCACTTGTCAAGCATAAGCAAATTCAATAAAAAAACAAATCAGACTTCATAAACTTCAATTGATGATTAAATTAGATTTGCATTGCTGTATATCAACATGCAAGTGCGGCGAGATGTAAGTGGAATTAATTGCATTCCAATTATACAGTAATGAAGCCAATTACTGAATTATTACAATGATCTGTTCAGCCATGCTTGACAGTCAATTGTGCCTTGCACAGGCTACGGGCGTGATGTATCTGTCCTGGTGTGTAAACCTCGCTGCAAGTGCCGCGTACGCACCACTGAGCAGTTGTTTGTCTCTCCAAGCCGTCAGTAGTTTACTTCATAACCACTCATTTCATATTTACCGCATGTGCAGTTTTAACCCATTGTAGTGATGCATGCTTTTTAACAGTTTGCTTTGAATTTTATTTACTGTGACAGCTTAAAATTATACTTTTCTGTATTGCTGAACCGTACATATGGCGGTTTTCAACCATTCATTTACAGCCCGCTGTATAACTTTAAGATTGCCAGGTGGATTTTAAATTGTAACGTTGATTTCAATTGGCGGGCATTTGTGAATGACACTGGGCTGTGGACATGGAAAGGTTGAAAGCCTTTTGTTTTAATTTGATGACAAGATAAGTGCAGATGTTAATTCAGTTTTGTAAATATAAATTCACATGCACCAGTAGCATTGTCGAATGTGTTTTTAAAAACGAGGAATCTTACTTGCTAATATGTAACGTGGGGGGTGGTGGTGAAGCAGTCACGCACAGCGACTGGCGCTCAGTTTCCTGCCGTGGCAAACAGCAGTGGCGAGTGAAATATGAACTGGTCCTGGGTGCTCCCCCACCCCGGCCACTTCACCAACCCTCACTGTCGAGAATGGTGAAATATGGTCAACAACCCTCCCTATGACACCATTTGGGGAGTCCTTGATCCAAAATTTAATTGACAAAGCAATAAATGTATTATATGTACGGTACTTATTTAAATGTATATACTTACAAGTGTTTCAAAATATTGTTTACAATCAGTGATATGTTACTTTATTTCAGCGATGCTAATGTGTTTTTTTTTGTTCTTTCCCTTCATGTTGGCATTGTGGTCCATTGTGTACACCCTGCTGTGTGTGTGTGTGCGCGCGCATGTCCTTGTGTGTATACTCTCTGCTGCGCATGTACGTCCCCCATGTGTGGCTTGTGCGCGAATGCCCTTTGTTTCGTACCTTTATCTTGGTGCTCAGGCACATGGAATGGTACCACCAAGGTGGCGATAAAGACACTCAAACCCGGCACCATGTCGCCCGAGGCTTTCTTGGAGGAGGCTCAGATCATGAAGAAGCTTCGGCACGATAAGCTGGTGCAGCTATACGCCGTCGTCTCTGAGGAGCCCATCTACATCGTCACTGAGTTCATGAGCAAGGGTGAGGAGCGCTTGTCCTCTGTGCACAGCGGATGGCTCACGGCCTGGGCTTATACTCATCTGGGTTTGTCCTGGACGGCAGGCCAGACAATATGCACCAAAAAATATCACCAAAATTAAGGCCTCGTCTTCTTCCCTCTACAGTCCCCTCTTTAGGCCTACTCCAGTGTGCTACTTAGTGTCTACAACTTACTTGCTTAGTTCTTAGTGTGTCCCCTCTGTTACTGACTCACCAGGCAACGTGCATGCCTCTACTCCTCAATGGTATTGCACCATCACTTGGAATTATTCGCATGCAACCCGGAGAATAACCAGTGATTAATGAATCCCTGCTCATGGGCATCTTCTCTCTTCGAATATTGCTTCTCTGGGTTTAATTATTCTATGAATCCTGGTGCAAAAACAACAGAAAAAAGCCCTGCTTTCTATGAGGCTAGATCGGGTAAAAAGATTAAGTGATTCCCCCCCCCCCTTCCGTGACTGGTCGGTACCCGTATATCCATTAGCGAGTTGTCATCTACCTGGCACTGGCTGCTGCGATGCAGCACCCCAACTCTGGTGTGCCAGACCCTGCAAAAGGAAACCGTTATTGAATCTATCAATCTGGATAGGGTAAAAAAATGTTTATGGATAGGAACCCTGTTGCTTCTTTGACTGTTATACTGCAATTTAGACAACCTTTTCCATGCTTACATTGTGAGCAGCAGCGTGCAGTGCAGCACAATCCATTTTTATACTGTACTTTTACCCTCCCTTGATTGTGCTCTAAACCTTAAACCCACACGGTTTAGGGAGGCCCTCATCTAGTAGTGGAATAACCAAGAGCTGTGGTGTTGACTACTCACCTCCATCTGTGCCGTGTTAGACCTTAATAGATGCTTGTTAATACTACTTGCCCCAACAGTCTGTTAAAAGCTATATGGTGAGGGATGTTCGTCTGCTGTGCTCTTGTGCACACTGTGTTATCATTCTACAACCTGTGTTTAATTCCCTGTCAGGGGGTAACATCATTGGCAAGTGGTATCTGGACATATCCTTGGATTCCCTGAGGTTGAATCGGTTTTAATCAAAGTCTTGTTGCTGCTGTGTAAATGTCCAGCGTTGGGGAGGCAAAGGTTGGGGGGAGGTGGGCTTGATCCTTGCCACACACCCCTTCATGTACCATATATATGTGTGTGTGGACTAAGTGTACCTATCCCTACCCCTACAGGCTAAATGTGGTGTGTTTGTTTTGTTGATGCATCTGCATAGGGAGCTTGCTGGATTTCCTTAAGGAGGGTGATGGACGGTATTTAAAGCTGCCCCAGCTAGTAGACATGGCTGCCCAGGTAAGGTATACATTGGCGATGGAGCTCATGTGCATCGTTTCATAACAATTCTGAATAATGCATTACAATGTTAATTATGTAAGGATTCGCTGCCTCTAATTGATTAATTTTTTTAATTCGGGAGTGCAAATTTTACTTCACGAATCAATTGTTTCTTTCACTCTAGTGGCTGCAGGGTTCATGCAAACCATTCGCATTAAAAACATCTCATTGCGTTATTTGGATAGTAGAAATCCGCTTTAATTAATTAATCCATTCGTAATTATGAATGAATTAATTAATTGGATTTTTTAAGCTTTTGAATGCAAGAGTGCTTATTTAGCTTTCTATGAACGTTCAGTTCATTATAATGATACGTCTTTAACATATTAATCGTATAGTTTAAATTGTGTCGTCGCTTTTAATTTCTCTTGTGAAGCACTTTGTATTGCATTTTATGCACGAATTGTGCAATATAAGAAAAGTTTTATTTGATTTGAATACTAAAAATACACAAACCGTCTCAAGGGAGGTGGTTTAATTCTGCCACTGTCATTACAATTAATTCTAATATTCAGCTGTCGGCGGTTTGTTCTCCACTTATTTATCACACCACGTAATTATTATCCCATGCAACTGCAGTGCAGACCATGTTGCGAAAGCTCCTGCCGCTTTATAATAGCAGCTCCTTCACATAATCATTGTGTGTTCGTGTTAAACTGTTAAAATGTCTCGAGCCTACAACTCGTCGCTGTGATCAGCAGTGCTGGAGGAACAAGTCAAGGTGTCCTGTTCGTGTAATGAGTTGAAACGCGCTGTGCGACCCAGCCCGTTACGGCAATGCAAATGTTAACACGAATTTTTGTATTCAGATTGCGGCCGGGATGGCATACATTGAACGGATGAACTACATCCATCGAGACCTGCGTGCCGCCAACATCCTCGTGGGCGATAACCTCATCTGCAAGATCGCTGACTTTGGTCTTGCCCGTCTCATCGAGGACAACGAGTACACAGCTCGCCAGGGTATGGCCGTCCTCATCGCTCCATGTGACGCGCGACACCCGATTCTCTCCAGACGCGCGCTACTTACCCCACTTTCTCTAGACACGCGCCACTCACCCGATTCTCTGTAGACACACGCCACTCACCCGATTCTCTCTATACACGCGCCACTCACCCGACAGTCACTAACCAATCGCACTCACCCAACACGAACCAATCGCACTCACCCGACACTCACGAACCAGTCGCACTCACCCGACACTCACGAACCAATCGCACTCACCCGACACTCACGAACCAATTGCACTCACCCGACACTCACAAACCAATCGCACTCACCCGACACTCACGAACCAATTGCACTCACCCGACACTCACAAACCAATCACACTCGCCCGCCACTCACGAACCAATCGCACTCACCCGACACTCATGAACCAATCGCACTCACCAGACACTCTTACTCGGCATATGCTCACAACTCAACTTGACACTTACCCATACATGCATGATTCACCAGGAATTCACCAATAACCTAACAATAATCATACTCGCCAGACACTCGTACTCACCCATACGTTCATCACCTTTACCTGTTACTGCTCACTAATCGCACTCACTAGATTCACCTCTCATGCGCACTGACAAACTCAAGACTCACAACATTGCCTGCCACTTGGCCCTCACCATCAACACCACTTGTGTAGACTTGCCAGACACTCACCGCTTACCTCTTACTGATAGCCGAAGCATCCAGAGTACAGAGGCTACCACTGTTACTGGGTAGCCAACTCTGGAATGTTGAACCAGAAGGCAGAACGTACACGCTTTATATTCTTTAATCGAAATCAAAACTGAAGTAAAATGTGTCATTCCAGAATGGGGGAGTAAAGGATGAAATTTCCGATTTTAACGGGTTAAAAAAGAGCTAAAATACAAGAATGCACTTTGTAACAGGAGTGTTTAAAAGTTAAAATGTTCATGATGGCTCGGCCATTTCCACAGTTATTACGTGTTACGCTTAAGGGCACGATTAGCTGTGGTCCCTCAGTGACTTGGTGAGATGTCATGCACGGAGCCCACAGTGCTTGCTCAGCAGTCGGTGGGCGTAAGACCAAAAGGTATGACGGGTACGCTCACCGAGACTCGGAAAGCGACACAGATCGTATAAGACAGGGCGAGATTTTATGTTTGGCAGTACTGCATGAATTTATGCTCAATGATTAACCGTAGCATTTCTTACAACATAATAACAATTATAGTAGGAATTAAAGTACATTTAATAAATACTGTGAATTGTTGGTGGCGGTGTTTTACACACACGGTGTATGCATTACTATACATACTGTGCTTTTAACGCTTGCAATAATGCGTTGCTAAATGGAGCATTCTGATTGATCAGTTGTGGCGGTTGGACACAAGACAGACATTAGCATTTTCATATTTCGCTTATGTAACATTGTCATTACAGCAGAGAAGATATACGATGCCCACACGTAATTTTTTTGTTTGTTTCCCGAGCAAAGAGAGTAAATGGCCTGGCGTCTCTGAATCTGATTATAGCTCTTTATTTGTGACGCCTTTCAACTTTAATGAAACTCTACTCTGTTCTTTAAGAAGAGAACATTTGTTAACTCACTTATTAAAAATCTGAGTGATACAGTAATATGCAAGTGGGGGCAGAGCTGTCCTCTTGTAATGTTTAACACGATGAACTTGCAAGCCAAAGGTCACCCGTTCGATTCGGTGTTCCGTCGCAACAGTTGAAGCAAAAAAAAAATAATTCCCAATCGCCTCTGTCCACCCAGCAGTATACATGGGAGTGCACCGTATTTAGCTGATCAGCAGTTTGTTTGTGGTGGGATAAAGTGTGGGCATCTTTTCAAAGATGTCTGGTCGGTGTGGAAGAGAAGACCAAGTAGCATCTAGAGTTGGCTGTCGTGGAGGAGTGCACCGCTGCATCTTTACCTTTTATTAAATGGGTGGCGATGAAACGGGTCGCACTCATTCCACACAGTGCTCGCCACGAATGAAACACAATACCTTGCTGATCTCGTAAAGAAGCATACACCATCTTGCAAACTCTGGTCGTCCGCGCAGCGGATTTTGTTAACTGTTAAACAAAGACGGTGACTGCAACGCGCTCTTTCAGATGTGCTTCTGTGGTCGTCTGGAATGCTCTTCCGATATGTGAGAGCCACTGGAGCTCTGCCCTTTAAAATCTATATTATAAACGAATTTCTTGAACTGCTTTTTTGTTTAGTTTGGGTTTTTTTTTCCCGCACCTCCGTTTGGCACTGTTCGCTACGTACGGTGGGAAAGAAGTGCAACATACATACGTACATTTTGTACTCTGTAGGCACATTTATTTTGTGTTTTGCATTTCAGGTGCCAAGTTTCCAATTAAGTGGACAGCCCCAGAAGCAGCCATGTTTGGCCGATTTACCATAAAATCTGATGTCTGGTCGTTTGGCATTCTACTGACGGAGCTGGTGACCAAGGGGAGGGTACCGTATCCAGGTCAGTTTTGTGTTCTTCATATACCTCCTGTTATAGTAATAGGTTTTTACCCTTTCATCTGGTACAAAAAACTGACACCTTTTATACAAGGGGTCATGTTTGCAGTAACCACAACACAAGCAGTCAGAATGCAAACAAAAAGAAACAACTCTGATAATGATAAGCACTGTCCTTGAAGTTGATTGGTCCACACCCTAGACAGCTTTTCTTAGAGCCTAGTATCCATTGGTGTTGGACCAGATGACACCAAAAGGCGTACAACTGACAAAACAGCGCACTATCAGAGTATCGTTCATAACATCGCGTGTGAGGAGTGGCGTGGTGATTAGAAACATGTTGCTACGAACCCAGCGACCCGATTTTATATTCCCAGCCATAGATACCATGAATGGTAAGTGATGTCAGCCTGTCCCTCGACTTGCACCAGAGCATTGCAACACCAACAGCATGGAAGAGTAATTTTCATTGCGTTATTATCGAATGGGTAGCCAAATACACAGTGGAAATTCAAATGTTATATTTTCGTCTTTTACACAGTCATTAGTGACTGTGCCAAGACCAATAATTCACTACCCTTGGGAGCCCAGTTTTACATATCTCCCTGGATTCTAACCCATCATCTCAGCAGTCCATGCTTGGCACGCACTGCAACACACATCCAGGGATTTGGAAATTAGTTGATGAGTGAATAAATGCTATTTCTGTCACTTTCGAAATTAACCTTACTGGCAGCTGTGAGGTTAACAGCGTTTGTTTGTACCAACACTACTCATGCTGCCTTGTCCTTTGCTACGTGCTTCTTTGCCCCCCACCCCTTGCTGCAAGGCATGGTAAACCGCGAGGTGCTGGAGCAGGTGGAGCGTGGCTACCGCATGCCATGCCCACCCAGCTGCCCCGAGTCGCTGCACGAGCTCATGATGCAGTGCTGGAAGAAGGACCCTGAGGAACGGCCCACCTTTGAGTACCTGCAGGCCTTCCTCGAGGACTACTTTACTGCCACGGAGCCACAGTACCAGCCTGGGGAGAACCTGTGACCCGCTCTGCCCACCACACAGTGTGCTTCCTGCCTGAAAATTGTCCGGGCCCACACGCAGGCATTAATCTGGGGGAGGGCGTGGGTTGAGTGCGTTCGTCTGCGCACGCACGCGTACGTACGCGCTTTCAACTTGGCCTGTGAAGTTGCCGCGAGAAAAGAGGATGGATGGGGTTTTTTGCTGGTCAGGGTGGAACAGGGTCTTTTGAACCCTGTGTTAATTTTTATTATAATGAAGGCCCTGTTTCTATACAGACAGTTGGCCTTTCTGAAGGTTAAGCCACTCGCCACGCTAAACCAAGTCGCCTGATGCCGGATGCAAGTTTCAACACTTTTAAATGCTACTTGTATAACAATGTTTTTTTTATATATTGCATATTGCTCACTGTAATTACGGCATACTACTACTACTGCTAATGCTGCTTTAATGCAGTTTGATAAGAGACTGAGGAGGCAGGATCTGGTACACTAATTCCACATTTGGATGCGCAGTCTTGGGCTCAAAGGGGTCGCAATGGAAACCATTCCTGTGCCAAAGACTCAGCCACTCTGATTAATTGCGTACTCGTGTTGTATAGCGCATAGCCTCTGGGTTTTTGCGATGCAGTGATGTAATTAACAACAATAATTTATGTTTGTCCTGGGGTTCAGTGTCACACTCACAAGAGCAGGGACTCGGACAAAAATTGCCACTACGTAATGCAAGAAAACCCGACAATATTATTATTACAGGAGAAAATTAATGACACATTCCACTATTCTGACAAACTTTTTGAAAATGGTAAGCTGGCTCAAATGTAACTGGATGGTTCTAAAGTTACCCGGTTATCATGTACAAAGGTGGCTGTTGTGGATTCGCGCGTGTATAACGAAAACAATATACTGTTTGGCGCATATGAAACGGTGCACCGTACCTATGAAACGGTTACTTTCATGGTTCTGGCTTTGTGCATTTTACGTTGCTTTAAAGCTAATTTGCTAACCAGTGCTGCACGATTACTCCAAGCCTGACCACTGGGCAATAAGCTTACTGAGAATAAACAATGTAAAGATGAAAATACTGTAGGAGGGGTGCTGATTAATGATGTTTTTTGCGAAGGATTGTACAGATTAAGTGGGAGGAGTCACATTGAGACTGCCGTGAAGTCCGTTTTTACTTGCTCTGTGTTGAACACTACATTTTTATAACAGATGTCATGGTTAAATGTTTGTTTATTATTGTATGCATTTTAATGAATCTATTATGCTTAGCCAATTTATAAATATTTTTTCTAGTAAAATGTGTATATTTTAGCCAGTTAGAGTTGTCACTGTGTGCTCTGTTTAGTTGCAATCTTTTCCATAAATGTGCAACCGATTTCAGCCTAGTTGAGCTTTTATACTTTTTTTGAAATAAATTATACTATATATGCATACCTGCATGCATGACTAATGTTTTATTACAGAGTTCAACAGTAATTGATTTCTTTTTTTAACTGGTGCCATTGCTCTGAAATGAAACTATGCTAAAAGTGAAGCTTTTTTGTAAGTACGGTTCCAAGAGCTTAACATGAATAGCGAGAGATCATGACATTCAATTTTCAAGTTTTTGTAATTTAGCCTAAATATAATTTGTACTGGTGCCAGCAATTGAGTAGGCCCTTGTGTGAGCCAGTCCTTTTTGCCTATTGGTGAGGTATAATGTGGTGGTGGTGAGAATCGACAACTATTTAGGCTTTTGTTCGAACATGTTGGAATATTTTTCAGATTCCTCTGCGGTCATTTGTTGATTGCCTACACAGTATTTGTTATAAAGGAAAATCCACGTTGCATTGGCGGTCTTTTAGTTTAGCCTCTTTGAGTGTGAGTTTAACTCTTTTTTTCGAATATAGTTTCATACAGCCCATTTTTGAAGGAGGTGGCAGTAAGGTTGTGAAAGAGTAGCTTGCTCAGAACGGTTATCAGCTCCTGGTCAGTGCATGAGCCTACCTTGGACTGCAGGCTTTGAGTACACTCATGCCAGCACTCGTGCTAATCACGACGCTAAAATGTTTTCGCTGATCGTTTCTCTCTCCACCCCAAAATTGGTTTACATATTGTATTTACTGTAAAGTTATCATGATTGAATGTTCCTGGAAAATACTTGTAATGCTTCACCCAATATGTATCAAAATCCATTCCTTCATTTCTTACATTAAATAAAAGCACTAGCTACTTAAATGTCTCATGTTTATTTGTTTCTCTCATCCCAGAAACGTTGGGCCCCCTTTTCCCCCCCATGGAGTATTTTGCTACGTAGCAAGCAATTGTGCACAATAATTAAGTGGACGTTATTGTTACATTTTGACATCCATCTTTGAAAACGTTCATTATTTTTTAAAGTCTTATTCCTGTGGGTTTTCCAGTATACTGTCTTCATGGCATGCACCCCGAGTAGGGTCAGCCATGAGTCCAGGTGCCCTGTTGACAACATTAACCACTCCGGCAGTTTGAAGATGTATGGTTGAGTGTGTGTGGTATTGAATATATGTTTGAATGTTTGCTCTTCACGTGTCATTTCCACGCAAACGTATGTTTTAAACAGAGTAGTTACATATAAGGAAGGAAATGCATGGCTTTTTTTATGTAGTAACACTTAAAATTGACAAGTGAACGTTTAGAGCACGAATGAGTGTTGGCGGATGCTGTTAAGAACAGCGTTTTGACACGTGCAGTGTGTCTCTCCACGTGTTTGCGTCTGCAAGCTATGTTGGTGTTGATTTTGACACGAATTATTTCCGGGGCCACATTGTGAATATCTGCAGTCTCCAAGTCAAGATATCAAAATACATTAATCACATTTGCAAGTCACCTGGACTTGCCGTCTAATAAATACTGTATGGGCATTGGCAGATGCACGGCCGTGCTACATATGCGAATTAAAAACTAACCTTATAACATCTTTTAACAAATTCCTCACGATATTGGCTCATATCTTTGTGTAATGTGTGCCAGTGTTATATTCTGACCAAAGTACACTTACACGACGCTTAATGTGGCACGTGATGCTGCAATTAGGCTCCGCTCTGCCAGCAGATGGCACAATATTTGTTGGGCAGCGCAGTTTAATTTTCATCGCATTTCAGTCTTCAGTGTCCCTCCTTAAACCAGAGCTGGGCTGCGATTTTCGTAATTCCACTTTTCCCAAGTTGTTGAACTTCTTCCGACCCGTTCGGAGCTAACCGTCAAATATATATTTGGGTCCCGCAATTTTAATTTCAGGGCTCTGCAACACATTCGACCAATCGTGTTGGTGATGTCACGACTCAGTGGCATACAGCATAGTATCGACAAAGCTCGATGATTGCAACTCAACTGTACGGGACGTCTGCTAAAAACATTAATAAGCTGCAGCGTTTATAAAATTCTCTGGCACGTGTCGTGCGATGGGTACTGCAAGATCCGACCATGTCCGTCGATCTCCATTGGCTTCCGGTTGCTGAACAAACGCACTAGAAGGTCGAACTCATTACACGCAAAGTGCTTGCCACAAATTAACCACAATACCTTGCTGATCTCGTTAAGGAACATCAACCTTCATGCGAACTCCGGTCATCCTCGCAACGGTGTTTGGCTCGTCGTTGAACAAAGACGGTCACTGCATCGTGCGGTTTCAAATGCGCTTCTGCGGCCGTCTGGAACGCTCTTCCTTACGATATTAGGAAGCCACTGGAGCTATGCACTTTCAAATCCGGATTGAAAACGCATATCTTAAACAACTGTGTTTACACTATGGGGACCTCATTTGCCAGTAAAAATATGATAATTGGTTCTTTACCCTTCTATCTGGCAACAAAACTGACACCTTTTTGCAAGGAGTCATGTTTGCATAGACCGCAATACCTGCAGTCATAATACAAACAAAAGAACATAACTCTGATAATGTGCACTGTCCTTGAAGTTGATTGGTCCACACCCGAGACAGCTTTCCTTCGAGCCTAGTCTCATATGGGTTGGACCAGATGACGCCAAAAGGTGCACTGTGTTTAGTTTGTTGCCCTTCCCCATACTTCCGAATAGCATGGTTAGCTACGTATGGTGCGAAAGAAGTTCAACATACAAATGTAATAAGTGACTTCCGCGACACGTCGTGTAGAGGGCACTCTTCTTTATTTCACGTATGGGCACAGCACAAGCCAACGTTATCCTCTTCCAAGTACACACTTTAGATATTCACGTTGTTACAGACTACACACACGGTTGATCACACTGCCGGCCTCGCTGACGGCGTGCCGGTGGAATTCCGCAGGAGATCCGCCACGTGGCCGAACGACGGGGAGAGATGACGGCGAGCAGCGACGCAGTCTGAACCCAAGACTCCACACGCCGAGTCCGCCTCCCCTTATATAGCCGCAGGCGCGGCTAGGCCCCGCCTCTGGCCACGCCCTCTCGTGGAACCTTCTCGCCGGTTCCCAGAGTTTCTCGGCCAGCCCCGCCCTTTACCTTTGGCGGCCCAGATACCTCTCTCCCTTTGGGATTGGGTGATGTTTATAGTGGGGCCTGTACCCGTGCTTCCCTTTTACAACCAGTAGATGTCACTATGTCATTACACATACATAACCATGCTGATCGGAAGTGCGGGTCCATAACGTATTTGTCATTATTCTGTTGAAATGCATGTGTCGTTTCTATGGAAGTTGTAATTAGGGGCCGTCCATAAATGACGTCACGCGATTTTGGACGATTTTTGACCCCTTCGTAACACGGTGTCACAAAAAGTCAGACCCTCTCTCAAATATGACGTCACAAAGCTCTGCCCTCCCCCCCCAATAAAACATGCTTCAAATCGCTTTAGACGATTGTCATTGTCGTTCGTATTTAATGTGGCGCTGCACTCTGATGTTGTCGGAGAAAACATTTAAAAATTAAGTAGAACGTGTTGTCTATATTTATGTAAAGTTGCGCATTTTGATGTGACGTCACATTTCTCACCCCCCCCCCCCTCGTCACGCATCGTCACAAATGTCTGACCCCGCCCCCCGCCCCTCCCCTAGGTATGTGACGTCATTTATGATGTGACGTCACATTTCTCACCCCCCCCTCGCCACACATCGTCACAAATGTCTGACCCCCACCCCCTAGGTGCGTGACGTCATTTATGGACGCCCCACACATCCGCGTGGGTGTTCTATTGCCCCAATGAATGCAAACAAATGGGTGGTGGTGGTGAGCTGGAAAGTGTTGCAGGGATCGGTTGATTGCTTGGCGGTATTGTAGTTGTTTTTTTCAGAAAACATGAAGTCTCCTTTATATGAACGGTCATAACATTTCCCGGGCATAACAATGAGTAGTCAATCAGCTCCCTTAAAAACAAACACATACACTACATGTGCAATAGCAGCAGCCCTTATTGTTCCGCGCAAGTATTAAACTCTTTCGAATTTAAAACACTGAAATCAAGGCCGCGATTACAATATAATTATAATGTAATTATAATATAATATTCAAATATGCTCAAAATGCCCCCCCCCCCCATATATTGCTATAAAATATATTTTTGTTTATATGATTGTGGTTATGGTTGTACTTTATTAATCCCTAATCTTTGCCATTACATACAATGAAACAAGAAAAGGTAAAACAGAAAAAACTGAGCAATGTAATACAATACACTACTAGACATTATTGTAAAATAAAAGTCCATCCTATGTGTTAGTGAATTTTAAAATATTTTAGGCAGAAAATTCGTTTTTTTTTTTTTTGGGGGGGGGGGGGGGACCCCAGACCCTGGAAGATTTGGTCCCCCCCAATGTTGACTCCATGGCTATGGCCTAGACAGAAACAACAGCGCACATGAACACGGCTCCACGACAGCGCAGGGAGGGCGTGAAGACGACGCGACGGGCACGTGGATCTGGGCTTCACGCAGGTTCGCGAGGGACGACGTCACGTGGGGAGAGGCCTTCATCCAGCAGTGGATAGACCATGACGCAAATTCTATATACATTAATTCGTCTCAATAAGATGACCCGAAAATAATGTTCTTATTCGCGTATCACAACATGCGCACATCCCTTTGTCATTGTCACTGCGGGATGAATCTCCGCACGCCTTTCGGGGTCGGGGAGGTTATTGGACCATACTTCACCTCGCTGGTCCAGTGCGGGTTCGTGGGTAAAGGCGAGGCGCATAGACGTGGCAGCATAGCGGAGTGCAACAATGGATTTTTCGCCACTGCCCTCTGCTGACAACCTATATAATACTCTTTGGTTCTTTCGGTAAATTCACGTAGGTATAAAATAAAATAAATTCATTGTAAATAAATTAAATGTATTTTAAATTGCAAGGTTTCATGTCTGCATTAACCACAGATACGTGTGGTGAACATGCAAACAAAAAAACATACTCTGACAGTCTATGCATTGTCTTTGAAACTGATTGGTCCACACCAGAGACAGCTTTCTTTAGAGCCTCGTCTCGAACGGTGCTAGACCAGAGGACGCCAAAAGGCGTACAGCACAAAGGCAATGCACTATCAGGACATTGAGAGCTCGGGGTGAGCATCTACATCATGGGACCTCCTTTGCCAGTATACAATTATGATAATAAGGTTTTCCCCTTTCTAGCAATAAAACCTATGTAATGTGTGCTGGGCCGTGTAAAATATATTTTTTTATGATATGTCGAGGGACAGATAGGCGAAGGAGTCATATCGTCTGCTTAATTAATTCGTTTGTCATATTTTCCATGACGGGAATGGGTATCGTGTGATTTAAAGCTTTCGTAACTGCAGGGATTCATATTCTTGGTTCTTTCGGTAAAGTCACGTAGAAGAGAAACAATAAAATATGAGTATCGTGTGCTTGTGTACTACACCGAACTAGGACTCGTATCTAACACAGTAGGAGAGAGTCCTTGCCTCTAAACATCTGGAGGTTCATCATCATTGTTGGGTTAAGCAAACTTGACTTGAAACGAGATTCGAAGATTTCGTGACTGCAAGAATTACTTTTTGGCTCTTTCGGTAAAGTCACGTAGAAAATAAATCAAACAATAATAGAATACGACGTTTCGATTGCAACACAAGCAACCGTCATCAGGTAAGAATACATGAGAAAAAAACTAACATTAAAAAGTTATAATTAATAAAATTGATTTTTATTAATTTAAAATGTTTTACCTACCTGACTTAACCGAAAAAACCCAAGAATATGAATCCTTGCAGTCACGAAAGCTTCAAA